CACAACACCCCTGAAGCTAACCGCCATTTGGCCCAAGCCACTCCAACCCGATGTCCAACATCCGCATCTAACTCCCCATCCGCCTGAATTACCGAGCCAAGATAACGAAACCTGTCTACCTTAGGTACTAGGTGAGAGTCAATCTTGACTTCCACCTCTGATTCTGTATCCCGGCCGCTGAAACGACATTCCATGTATTTAGTCTTGTTCCTACTTATTCTGAATCCTTTAGTCTCAAGGGCAAGGTGCCATAATTCCAACTTATCGTTTAGTCCCTCACGCGTGTCGTCGATAAGCACAATATCATCCGCGAAAAGCATGCACCATGGGACCCCGTCTTGAACACCTTGAGTTAGGACGTCCATCACCAAGGCGAACAAAAAAGGGCTAAGAGCAGACCCTTGGTGTAACCCCATCCCTACCGAGAAGGAATCTGAGACGCCCCCAGAAGTCCTTACCTTGGTCATAGCCCCATCGTACATATCCTTGATCGCGCGAGTGTACACGATGGGAACTCCTCTCGCCTCAAGACACCTCCATACGACCTCCTTGGTACCCTATCATACGCCTTCTCAAGGTCAATAAACACCATATGAAGGTCCTTCTTCCTAGCCCTATACTCTTCCATTAACCTCCTCACGAGATGAATGGCCTCTGTAGTCGATCTGCCAGACATGAAACCAAACTGGTTCTCCGAAATGCAAACCTCTTTCCGCACCCTATACTCAATAAATCGCTCCCAAACCTTCATGGTGTGGCTAAGCAATTTGATGCCTCTGTAATTCTCGCAGCTCTGAATGTCACCTTTGCCTTTAAACAGAGGGACCAAGAGACTCTCCCTCCACTCATCAGGCATCCATGCTGTTCGGAGGATAACATTGAAGAGTTTGGTTAACCAAACCCACGCATCACGACCCGCATGCTTCCAAAACTCCACTGGAATCTCATCAGGTCCCACACCTCTCCCATTACGCATCACGCGGAGAGCCCGAACCACCTCTTCCAAGCAAATGCGCCGGCAGTACACACGAGATGCCCCAGGATGTCCCAACTCATCAAGAACTAGCCTCTGGTCTCCTCCCGCATTTAAGAGTTCACTAAAGTACTCCCCCCAGCGTTTAGCCACCTTGGCAGTCTCAACTAACACTCTACCATCGCTGTCCTTCACGCATCTCACGTGGTCTAGATCTCGGGCCTTCCTCTCGCGCACCTTAGCAAGCCGGAACAGTGGATTAACACTGCCTTTCTCCTCAATATCCTTGTAGAGGCGTTCAAAAGCGGCATTCTTTG